AATCTCTATTGATCTGTCTTCACATTCCCTAATTCTTTCTTCTGCCAATTTAAATCTACTTGTGAGCCTCTCTAGTGAATTTTAAAATTTTAGTTATGGTAATTTCCTACTGCAGAATTTCCATTTGCTTCCTTTTTAATAATTTAATAATTTCTGTTTTTTTAGTGATATTCTCTACTTGATGTTATGTTATGACATCTTAGTTTTCATATTAAATTATGCCTCTTTTAACATATGTATAATGACTATTTTGAACTCTGTTAAATCTGACATATAGTCACTCTCAGGTATGATTTTTTTTGCCTGCTTTTTTTCTGACCTATGGGTCATAATTTATTGTTTGTTTATATTCATGACTTGTAACAGTTTCTTTGAAACTAGATATTTTCAGTAATACAATGTAGCAATTCTCGTTACCAGTCCTCCTTCTGGAGTTTGGAACTATTTACTCATTTGTTTGTGACTTGCTGAATTGTTTTTGTAAAACCTTTTTCCCCTAGTGGTGTAAAGTTGGTGATCTTTCTTCTCCAGAGGTACAGTGTTGGATATTTACATAAGAAGGCAGCAAACCACACTGCCATGTGTGTACCTATGCAACAATCTTACATGTTCTTCACATGTACCCCCAAACCTAAAATGCAATAAAATCAATCAATCAATCAATCAATCAATAAAAACACCTGAAAATACAGTGGTTTTGCCAGTGCTCTCTTGGTTGCCTCTGTTCCTGACCATATCCAGCCACTAAGGTTGTTTAATTGCCAGCCAACTGCTCAACTGTATTCAAAAATGCCCTAGATCATAATTTGTTCCACAGTATGATCCATTCAAATTTGGTCTCTATTAAAGTAATGATTCCCTAGATAAATGTTTGAGATTTGTTATTTTTCCTATGTCTCATTTCAGATGACTCTATCTCTTCTCTCTCTCACAACTAGCCTATCACTCCAGTGAATCTGCCAGCTCTACCAACCCTCTCATTTGCCTTAGTAGCAACCTTTGCTATTTTGAGTTTACCTTCAGGCTTGAACTTCACACTCCTTTGTATACAAAGAGCAACTTGTATATGTTACTTTGTATATGAAGGAACTTTCTGTTTTATGGCCTGCTTTTCTCTTACTCCCAAGCAAAATGTTTGAGCCATGGCTTTGAAATTCTTAGTGATACCCTGCTTAAGGAGTGAAGTGCTTTCTGGAGAGAAGGAGGTGGTGACCTCAGACTTTTTTGTCTGTATCCCTCAGGACTTTTTCCATAGACTATAATTGTTTTAAAAATAACTTTCATCAGTTTTTCTGGAAACTGTGTTTGTAGAGTTCCTCAGGCTATCATGTTACAAGTCTTAAACAACAACAACAAAACAAACAAACAAAATTGAATTATATATTAAAAAGACTTTCTGGAAGGAACGTGACTTATGCTAAATTCTGAGGCATAACTATAGAAATTCTGACCATCTGGAAATAGCCTTTCAGTGCAGAGTAAACAGTTTAGGTTTTATTTTTCTAAAGAAATAGATGATAAAATATTAAAAGAAAAATCTAGAAATATCTATAACACAATTATATAAAACAAAATTAATTTTGTATACATATATAGTTGTTAAATAAATGTAAAAATAATTTAATTAGTACACCATGATATTCTTTACAGCTGTAAAAAGTGGGTTTTAAATTTAGTTCTGAGTTTCTCACAGAACTATAAACTAAAGGACCACTAACTGAAGAAGAAAATAATAATTACTTACAAAAGCTCGTTGACCATTATATTAAAATATTATTTTCTTGTAGAGGTGCTGGAATCCATGAAATGTAATAATTGGAAAAACATTCTTTGTCATTCATAATTTTCCCACAATGTTAAGTAATAGTTTCTTAATCTCACATTGCTCCTAAAAAATATTAGTTGGTATTTTGCCCTGGGCCCCAGGAATAAATACCACTTTGTCCCATATATGACATATGAGAAAAGCCACTTTAATGTTGAAAATTACCTCCAATAAGAAACTGATGGAGCTTGTTTATCCTTTATGCTTGAGTTTTACCACGTGCTGATCATCTAGCTCTAAGAGATAATTGCAATTTATTGCAACTATGAGGCCAAACTAAAAAGAAAAGAGAAAAATAAGAATAGACTTTGACAATGTTTCAACCAAAATATTGAAAAGAAATTGTGTATATGCATGTTTGCCTGCAGTCTGTAGATATGAGTGTGTGTGTGTGTGTGTGTGTGTGTGTATGTGTGTGCATAAAACATTAAAGAGAAGGAAAACAAAGAATAATATCATACATAGCTGACTTGGCCTAATCAACCATTGTCAGTGAATCTGAATCCCTAAGATTAGCAATATTTTTCACTTCAGAAGAAGCAAATAATGTTTAAGGAATATGATAGCTTTATCTTATACTTTCAGTTTTCTAAGACTATTCCCCTATTATTCACTGTCTAATCTGTACATGCAGTTTATTTAGTCTGTGTTAATCACTAACTATTTATTAATTGAATATTTAGAGAGATTAAAGTAAAAAATCGAACAGAAGTCTAATATTTTACATATACAAGAATTGGTTTTGGGATGTAGAATGGAAAGAATGAGTGTTACAGAGATAAAGGAATAACCAGAAATTATTGGAAATGAAACAGAGAATTATAAAATGAAATTAATCAATTAAAGGGATACTACAGGAGTAAAATAGGACCATGAGTGAAGTTCTGGAAGTTAAATTGCACAGTTTCTTAGGGAGGGTTGCAGATTATTAGTGCAATTCTGAGACTATTAATGATGGTACAATCCTTTAGACATTTGGCACCTCATATTTGGTCCAAAACTTCAAATATTGGTCAACTTTCAGTAACAAATTTATAAACATTTCTTAGGAGATAGTAATAATTAGTTACCTTGATACACACACACACACACACACACACACACACACACACAGGCACAAACACACACATGTATTTTGTTTTTGCTTCATCAGTATTATACTATGAAAATGGCTTATGTCTGGAAGAGCAAAATCGCTTTTGAAGTTGATGCTTAAGTGAGTAATCTTCGTAAAAGCATGTAATATTTTAAGTATCAGGTTTCACATCTTACATATGGGGATTCCATTAACAACTTCATAGCTTTTTTGTGTGCAGGTTGAATGAAATATGATTATGTGAAATATTTTGCACCGTGAATAGTAAACATTCAATATTCATAGTGCTGTTCATGTGGGAAATTGCAAAGCCTAGAATATCATTGAATGTGTGTCCAATACTGTATGAGACACTTTTAATTTTTTTCCTATGATATTTATAATAATTCCATAACCAAAGTGTTAAATTCTTGACTTTCAGTTTTTTTAGGAAAAAAAAATTTAGGTTAAATTACATGCTCAGGGTCACACAGGTAGTAGAAGGCAAAGCTGGGGCTCCAAAATGGATGTTTAGCACAAAACACTATGCTCCTTTTTACTCTCCAAGAAATGCTATTTAGCTAATGGTCAGACTGAAAAATGAAAGTAACTATTTAAAGATATAACCATACCTTACTTTGTAAAGTTGTGTTGAGTAGATAAAGGTTAAAATATGAATTTCTTGTCTTAAAGAGTCATATGTTAAATTCTATTTAGAATCTTTCTTCTATCAAAACTAGGAAAGTGCACATTTCATCTCTGAATAAAGAATAAACAAGTTCATTAGATATAAAAAGGGGTATAAGTCCATTAGATATAAAAGGGGTATATCAGGTGAGACATCACCTTGATTTTTGGGAATTGAAGTCAAGTTTCATTAGTTCATCAGGACAGTATTCTGCCGTTTGTAGTTAACAGAATTGGAATATTGGAGAGTAGCCATGGTAGACCACTAAATTCAAATCTTGTAGCACAGCCAGCAGGGCAAACCAAGTGTAAATCTGTATCATAGCTATAGCTATTTGGTGTATGCTTTAGGAGTACTTTTATCTTTAACAAAATAAAATGGGTATTTTAGAGTCCTAAATGTAGTTGTCAAAAAGATGAGTTTAATATATCAAATGCAAGTCTGTTTCTTCATATTCAAAGCCAAACATTTTTCCCTCTTGTCTTGCTTATAAATATTCAATGCCACAGAAACACAAATAAATAATTGGCCAACTCCAATGCATTCTGTATAATTTATAACAGATCAAAAGATTATTACATGGTACAGTCAAAGTCAAAACTATATTCCATATATTACAAATGAAAAATCCTAACATAGCCCAAGTCATCAATGTATTAATAAGCTAGATCTCTTACTTCATGTATGTGTGTATATATAATTAAAAAAAAGAGAAGGATTTAGGGATTAAGAATTAAGTATTGAGTTCTCCACCACTGGAATTGACCTGGAAAGATTAGAAGATTATTATTCATTTACATTGATAAAAATCTTCATGAAAATGAAAATACTAAAATGACTTGGGATCATCTTATTCAAAAATATTCCAAGGTCAATTTTAATGAAAAATGCAATTTATAAAATATATGATGCTTCACCCTTAATCTTATCTCTTTTATCATTGTTAAGGACCCCTTCTCAACAAGTCATTTGGTTTTGGCCTTTTGCTAGGTTTTCAGTGTTCATCTCTATTACATAGTAGGTCAAGCAAGTAATAGCTTAAAATGGGTTGTATTCTTCTCAAGAATAAAAATAAATAAATTTTTGTTGTATACAACATTATTCTTTTCAAGACTGGATTTTATTAATGAAATAAAACTTGTTTTATCAAATAAATCTCTTTTAACTTATTGAGATATGGTCTTTGTCAAGCTAAACTCCAGCAAGTGGTGTTTGAAATAATAATTTATGCTTTTTTAAAAGCAGTCAAGCACTTGCTATTTTTCTTATTTGGTCAGACTCTATAATCACCATGTTGAAAACATCCTAATTAAGGGAAGTTGGAAACGGACACACATGCTTTCAAGAGAAAGTTGAGTTGCACGTTAAAATGAAATACCCTCAATGCTGATGTTATTTTTTCCTTCCTATAGGGAACCACAGTCAGATATCACGAGTACCTGTTGCTATAAAAGTGCTGGATGTCAATGACAACGCCCCTGAATTCGCATCCGAATATGAGGCATTTTTATGTGAAAATGGAAAGCCCGGCCAAGTAAATATCTCCATGTTGTTAATGCTGAATATGTTTGTATACAACTGTCTCATATTTGATTGACCTGCATTATATTGTGCATTTGCATCATTTATGATCTGCAAACTCCTAGGCAAGAAACACATCCAAATGGGAACAGAGAGGGATGTTTTTTTTCTTCCTCAGATGTTATTTATCTTCCTACTTATGACCAAACTGGCTCGTAAAGTGGAACAACATGCTGTGCTGTGAACCCAGAGCCAAATCACTGTCTTAAAATATCTTGGGATATAGATGACAGCAGTGGATGTTTTAGAGTGATAGGGGCTGAATTTTTACTTTCAAATGACAAGAAGAAAGGTAAAAATCTCATGGAGAGGAGATGTTTGTTTCATGGCAAACATATGATAACATATATAGTAAAACCCAAGAAAACCAGTGGTATATAGAAAGTTGTAGGAAGTGAATATTGAAATCCGTAAAAATGTGTATGTATTTAGATAAACACAAAGTGAACAACACATTTTAGATGTGTGTATTAGTAGAACACTTTTGTGGCTCATATAGTGTAGTTGGGCAATGAAAACAAAAAAAGAAACAAAATGTGGGGGCAGAAAAGGGAGAGGGAGAGGAAATGGGAGAGGGAGGGAGAGGAAATGGGAGAGGGAGGGAGAGGAAATGGGAGAGGAGGGAGGGTAAGAGAAGAAGAGGGAGGAATAAAGGGAGGAAGAGTTAAGCAAGATAAACAGAAACAAGTATCTGCTATATTCTGAATGTCAAAATGGAAATAGCCTTTGTAACGTTCTGCAAAAACATAAATGTAACAGATTTATTTTAACAAGGTACCAAAGTACTGTATGTTTAAGAAATTCATTCTTTTTCAACTTCCTAATTTATTTCTGGATGGTGACATTTTAATTTAAATAAACAGCAGCTGACAGTATGACACTGGAGTTGTTAATCCAACTATTCTTGTGCCTCATGTGGGTGTTAGGAATTAAATTTACTATTTACTAAGCAGCTTACCTGATGAGAGTCAGAGTTTTTTCCTCTAAAGGAAGGACTAGCACTTTAGGTCTATGCTTTTATTTATCATAAATGATCAATTTGTTATCCTCTCATTAAACAGTGGGCATTTTCCCATAGACTACTCTCGTGTATCTGGAGGAATGGCATTGTTTCCATCTGCCAGAATAAGACAACACACACACACACACACACACACACACACACGCTAAAATTTTAGTAATAAAACCGATTAGCTTTTAATCATCTAGACATGTTCTCATCAAAGCATTCAGCTTTAGTAGTGACATACGTTTATTTTTACAATATTCTAACATTAGCTCCAATGTTTCTTAATTTTATTATGTGGATTTACCCCCTCTCAATCACATTCTTTGAGCATCTTCATTTGTGATCCTTTGAGAAGGGAGTGTGTATGTGCTTATATATACACACATATATCAACAAATATCATTTACCTAAATTGGTAGATTGAGTTGACAGAGAGAGTTTGATTGAAATATGGCAGATTGTTTAAAGGATATGAATATTGTGTGGACCGGATCATTGCTGAGATAATGTAGCCAAATCACAGACTGGTAAGCTAGACTTTTTCAATCACACAGAGTAGGAAAAAATACTTTATAATTTAAATGAAACTCCATTGCTCATGCAAAACTCATCACATAAGTTCACGGAGTCAATGGCATTGATAACTCAAAACTCAACATTGGCTTCACTTGTGTTATTGACAAGCATGCCTCTTGGATCTCTAGGAATCTGTAGGTTTACCTGGTGGATTTTGACTGTTTTCAAAGTTTTAATGACTTTTCAGTCCTTCTTAACTTCAGGGAAAAAAAATGCATTGTTTCTCATCTTTCCTATGCAAAACCAAAATAAAAAAGTTGATTCTTTGTTTTATGATTTTCCAATCACAATGAATGACTCTTTCTCTGAAGAAATGCTTATGTTGTGGGTATGTGTGCTACACCATCTTATCCTCTAATGATCTGTTTAGGCATATTTATTAAGTTCATTAGTTACATGAAAGGATCAGATCTTTAATGTCTTAGCCACGTTCTTGGACACATAGCTGACTGTTGATGATGTACATGCAGTTGTTGAAACAACTTTCTCGAACTCTTTGAATCTTTAGTGCTAGCCAGAATTCAGGTTTTATTTCTTACATCACTTCTAGGTCACTTTTAATGCTCAACAGTCTAATTTTTGTATTTAACATTTAGCACTATTTGTATTTGTTATTCACACAAGTGTTTACTTATAGAAGTTCAACAAAGATATACTTTCAATCATCTCTCATAATACCACGCAAATGACTGACTCACTCTGGAACTAAAATATTCCTTAGCAGATTATCACATGCTCATGAAAAATAAATGTCAAAAACCAAATTAGCCAATAAATTCAAAGTTTTCTCAATATTTTTAAACAATTTAGTCTGCTTTACAACAGCCTCAGAAAAACTGCAGGTGACATTCAAATGTCTTGTTTGGCTGGAATGTGTGCTTTTAAGACTAAACTCAGGGAATCAGCTTCCTGGGAGACGGTGTAGCTGGAAATATTAGCAATAATCAAGGATGGATAAGCCGTTTAAAAAAATCTAGGCTGTAGAAACTGTCTGGACTGAGAAGGCCTATGTAAAGAGGTTTTTAAATCCCTCACAAAATGAAAACGAGTATTAACATGAGCGTAGATAATTATATTGTGCTTTATATATTTTTTCCACTGAATTGAACTTATCTAAAGGTAGTCAGAATGAAAAAGAAGAAAATAAAGTGGGAGGTCACTTTCTCTTCTCTATGCAGTTATCTCCAGTTTATGATATATCTGTGCTAAAACAAGTATAGATTCACTTTGAATGTAGAATTGGAAATAATATCTGCTCCTTCCACCTTTCATGATTCTAAAGTTAAAGGTGACATTCCCATGAATTTGTTCTCTCAAAAGTGTAACCAGAACCACAACAGGAAGTAATGGTTCACAGACCATTACACAAAATCCACTTGAATCACATTTGATTAGAATCCTTTAAAATAATCCTTGGTTACATAGTTAAATGTTAATATATGTTATCATTGCTAGTTATCTATCTATCTATCTATCTATATTTTTAAAAACTCTGATAGTTTCAGGTGATTTGTTTTAAGTCAAAAGACTTAAGATGATATACATCTTTAGACTAATTCAGTGGTGACATGATATAGTCATTTGCAGATGATTTGGCTCTCAGTTTAACAGGAAGATTAAACAGAATACTCTCCACTAACTTCTCTCTAATTTCCAAGGCAAAAAATGGGAATGTATGTTGAAGATTCCAGAATCAGAAAGTCAAATACGTGTCTGACAGTTTGTGTAACTGATAGGGTGGTGGGTTTCTATTAGTCAGGAAATACTCACTGAGCACCAACTCTGTTCCAGGACTGGGCTAGGTACGAAAATTTAGAAGTATACCACACCCGCCAAGTCAGTCTTTGACCTTCATAGAATTTTCTCTCTGGCAAACATTTAATTAAATTTATAAATGATAGAATTGCAAGAAAACATTTTAAATCTTCTGGACAGGTAGGATGCTGAAGGGAGAAGGGGAAATGGACCTATCTCAATGAAAAGACCTCTTAATATAGGACAAGTTTCGCCAGAGACAGAAAACATCTATCAAGTTCTGAAAAGGAGACAGCAGGGATAAACCAGATTCTTTCTGAAGAGAATGGTAATCTGGCTGGACAAGTGGTGAACAGGTAACAAATGTGGCGAAACCAGCATCTTCTTTCAATATATTTGACAACCCCACACTCAGAACCAAGCATGAGGGAAAAATACAGAACTTCAGTGACCAATGTTAACCAGAGGACATTTCATAACTGTGTTCTAACTTTTATCTCTTTACTAGGATCTTTCTTGGATTTTATTTCAGATAATAACATCTTGGTTACCACATACAGAATTAGGGTAACTTTCTCTGGATGATCTATCAGTGCAGGGACTGAATTGAGGCATGAGGCAAGGTGCTTTGTTCAGTCTCAGAGAATATTCATTGTTTTAGAGGAGATGGGAAGCTTCAGTTATTTTTCAGGAAAGAAATTCTGTTACCATAAATAAATCTAGTGGAGTAAAATTTGAGCTTCATCATTATCATATGAGTTGAGATTTACTGGTTGGTGTCAAGAAATTATATGTGAGTTAAAAAATATTTTGGTTTCTCTTCTCTTATCTCATCCTTCTGTCTCTGATCAACACCGTAGAAATATAAAGTGTGTTTATTATGGGGATATCAAAGTTCAAATATAAAGGTAGTCACCCATACTTCTGGAAGATATGTATTTAGCCAATGCTTGACACATAACAGATATTCACAAAATCTTAGAATCATGGTTCTAAATCATTTCATTCAGCAATGAGAGATAATTCAAAAAGTAATTTTTTAGATATTATCATAGAAACACTTGTTTCACTCACAAACACACAGTATATATACTAACTTCTTCAGATAAAAAATTTCCTCATTTATTTATTGGACAATATTTTTTACCCATCTACAAGATATTAATTGTTGTAATATAAGATGAAGAAACAATGTGAAAGGGCATAAATTATTTTTTCTTAGGAATTTAGTGAAGAAGAGATTTTATGAAAAGAGTAGAATGAATAAATATAATAATTTAAAGTTTTGAAAACTGGTTTGAAATAAATATTCAAACAACCAGACAGAGAGGCACAAAGAAAACTCAGGGATCAATTTTATATATTACTATCAAATAAAGTTACTTTTAAAATGGGTGTTGTTTATGGTGAAACTGGAAAAATAAGAAAGTGCTGGATATGAAGGCAGTCTGCTAGCCAACAGAATAGGCATGTGCAAAAACCCTGAAGGGGCAATGACCTCAGTTTGTGAGAAGAGTGAAAGATATCTGTGACTAGCATCTAATAAGCAAATGTTGAACATAAAGAGTTTTATGTTCGAATAAAATACACACACACAAGAACATGTGTGTGCA